CCCCCCTTTGCCCTGCACACTGAGGGGCTGGGGCCTAGGGGGCAGCAGGTCAGAAGTGAGAGGCACCACCAAGGCTGTGGGGTTCGGGGACTGTGCGTTGGGAGTGAGGGGAACCAGCATATCAAGGCTACTCAGCACCCTAAAGTAGCAGGGTGACAGCTGTAGCTGGACACATGTCCTGGTGAGCGGAGGAGGCATGGGGAGTTCTGATAGTCCATGATAAACAAAATCAAATGCTAAAATATATAGGTAATAAGGATTTATTTTATTATAATGATTGAGGCACTGTTACGCTTCCAAATTGCTTTAAAACTGTAAATATCAATAAAACATTGCGTTCAAGTGATACTTGTATATGTAATGGTGTTTCATTTAAATCATGGAAAAAAACAGATTTTTGGATTCTTTATCAGATCATTTTGGATTTTTAAACAGCCAATCATGATCCCTGCTTATTATTATCTTTAGCTGATGTTCATGTAGCATCCGTTGGAGACAGCCTATCTTTCATGGTGGGGGGCGGAGCAGGGGAGCAAAGAAGTAGCTCCCTGTTGCCCCCTGGCTGGAGAGTTTGCCTTTGGGGTAATTTTGTTACTATCTAGCCAGGGGGAGGCTGTAACATTTGTGTGTCCCACTTGCTACATTTTTGTGCAATGCATATTTCCCAGAAATTTGCAGAGCTAGAATTAAATGCTTGTCCCTTACCTCAGTCACTTACGTGCCTTTGTCACCTTGAAAATAATTGAAAACACCAGTGGTTCCTAGCCTTTTTAGACTTGGGGTATCCCTCCATAACTTTTCTGAATTTAATTTTTGAAATGAAGGGTTTCCTTAATTTATTCATTTTTGAGTACGGAAAAATAGAGCAATTTTGGAAAGAACTGAGTAAGATCAAAAGTGTTTTTGACAATATGGATTTCTGTCTGAAATCTCTGACTTTATCTTGCAAATCTTGTACAACTGTTTGTACACCTAATAGTGCCGATATGGCATGGCACGTTAAATCACCCTTCAAAGGATGTCGTGCTACCCCAGGATACTGCAGCTCTCTTTTTCAAGAGTCACTGGAGTATATGCAAGACTAGATGGTAATGGTGTTCACTCTAAAAGGTGGCAAAAAAGACTTAACCATGCTTCAACTGTTGGTACTTATTCAAGTAATAGTATTGACTTCAGCAACTGTAACTTATCATATTTTCTCACATATAACTTACCCCTAAATATATGTGCACTGCTTGGAAAGGCATTTTTTCAGAGTTTTGGCTACTCTGTGCCAGAGTTACCTCAGAGGCAGAGACAAAGCTGAACCTTCAGGCTGTTTCCCCTTACTTCTCACCTAAAGCTGAAACCCTTTTTGCTGCTGAAAAACTGATCCCTGTGGTTGGACCTATGATTTTGAATGGGACTAAAAAGTCTCCAAACTAGGGATGTAAACATTGTTCCCTTCCTCTTCCCCTCTTCCTCCTTCCCTTCCTTCCTTCCACCTGCCCTGCTGCCTTCCTGTTTTTGCTGTGGCACTGAGCGGCTTCTCTTTCCTTCCTTCCCTGCCAGACAGTGCCCAGTCCTGTGCTAAACAATAACTTGTAAGCATAACCAGTTATTACTGGGCATATTGGTTAAACGATTCATTGGTTAATCTTCCACGAACTGAGTCCAAACCTGTGAAATAGAAGGAAAAATGCTGGAGCAGCTAGTAGACAACAAAATTGCTCTAAGAACGGTTAACTTGGTTAGTGGAACACTAAGATGATTAAAAAGGAGAGATGATTAACACCCCTCTGTTTAGTGAAAAACAATAAGCTATTAAGTCGAGTAACTTGCTCAGCCACCTGGATAGTAGTGCAACAGCTGCAGCACTGTAGAGCAAGAATCAAAGCAGGGTGCTTCTATCCTGGGCAGAAAATCAGCTTCCCCACTTATCATACCTGCAAAACTGGGATGCATATGTTTTTTGGGTGAAAAAGTTTGTATTATATGTGAGAAAATAATTACTTTTTAAAACTTGTTTGTACCACCATTCACTGTGTTGGTTGTTGGATGTGAAAGTGTCATCAGCATCCCATGCCTCCTTGCCCCTGCATAGAATTCATAACAGTAGTATTTAGGTATGAAGGCAATATTCTGTTTTCACTGAAGCCTATGTCTGGGAGGCCCCATGGTATTGCAGTTGTTATTGATGATCATAATCATCTACTTTTCATACAAGTGATAAGGTTGAATTTGTAGATCTGGGGATAAGAAAAACATTTAAAATCTGTAGACTAAGCACATTTTAATATGTAAATTGTTATGAGGCAGTAAACGCAGAATCCGGCAGTTTAATTGTTAGTCATTTTTCCTGTCATGGCAATTCTTCCAAGTCCTTTTTTTGAAAGTTAGGAAAGTTGTGTTTTAAGTAGTACTGTATACATATAGAGTATTGTACACTAGTTTTTTGCGAGGTTCACTTGCGATTAGTTTCTGAATAATACTTTAAATTGTTGTCTTGACCTATGTGTTCAATCCTGACTGGAAACATCTTGAGTGAAGCCAGGCTGTCTGCTGGCAAGTAGTCTTGCAGTCCCCTAACTTGAGAAGTTGGGAGAATCATGTCTGCTGTCAGGGATCCTTGACTCTGGCATTCACTTCTGCTTCTCTGTAGTCTGGGTCTGGCTTCTCTTAATCTTCAGGGAGTGGTGCAAGTTGCATCTAATTATTTCAGAAACAGTGGTAGTAAATATATTGGCATTAGTATTAGTAGTGGACTCTTTCATGTGGTTGCGTTATCAGTTTTGTGCTTGTGATTATGGATCTATCATGTCACAACTTGTGTTATATTATGGGGTTTGCATTGAACTGCACCTTGCCTGGATATCTATATAAAGATTTTTGTTTTGCTGTGACTCTTAATTTTTTATGATATTGTCTCAAGTTTCCATGGGAATATAATTGCCACAAAATGCCACATTACAAGCTTAACTTTTATTAACCATAACATAAAATGAAATTCAGCTCTGTACTACTTAGTACAACCATCGCATCTTTGCTCTTTTAAAGGACGGTGTTCCAAAATCAATCAGTTTGGCCCCATGTGATATATTCTCTAACTTGAATCAATTCTGGTGTCACATATGGGAAACATCAGTTGTAACATTAGCAGTAGTTTTAAGTAAAAGACTATTCAGTGACTTTAGTGATTTCAGTATGTTGTGCTTTTATGTATTACATGAAGAGTAGGAACATCGTTCCAATGAAGAGGTTGACTCTACCATATTTTCATTTAAAAAAAAACACCCCCAAAAAATAAGATTAGACATAATTTTGTGTTTTGTTCAAACTACTGTATTTACCTTAGACTAGTTTGAATTTAAGACAGCCCCCAAATCATTAGATTCTAGATATGGAAAATGCATAATTTTCCATTAAAATTAGAATTTAATTAATTTAAAATTAATTTAAAATTTAGAATTTAATTTTTGGAGGGTTGTGTTTTAAATGCATTGGCCCCCCATGGCAGTGAGGCAAACAGTTGGGAGCGGAGGGGCAGCAAGCTGCAGAGAAGTCAAGTGGCTTGATCTCTGCTCCTTGCTGACTGTCCCTTTGTCACTTGCCCCACCTGCTGCTTGTCTCCCTTCAGTGCCCATATTCCCTGGCACCTGCCATAACCCCTGTCCTGCCCAGCCCCACTTGTACCTTATGCCTTGCCACTTGTTCCCTCTCCACCACTTGCCTGCCCCTCTCTTCCCACTTAGTTCCTCCTCTGCCTGCCCCCCACCCCTCCACTGCCACTGCTTGCCTTTCTATTGCAGCTCTGGTTCTGGTTGGGGCCCTGCTCCACCCTGGGACACGGAACATAGAGCACATGCTGTCTCTAGCCCCTGCCCAGCCATGCAGCAACAGTTGTGGTGACCCCAGACCCACAGGTGTCCAGAGCTACTGCTGCTGCATGACCGGATTGAGGCTAGTCATCATATGTTCCAGGCCCTGGCCTGGAGCAGGGCTTCAGCTGCAACTGTGATGAAAAGATAAGTAGTGGTGGAGAGGCAATAGCAGGGGGCTGGCTGCAGGTAGCAGAGGTATGGGGGAAGTAGAGGCTACGGGAGGCAGATGCTGGGCAGGTGGCAACTGCCACTACAACTCTGGTCTGGTCTTAGGTTTGAATAAATACGGTACTCTGATCTGTGCTAGAAAACACAAAATGTATCTTGGAAGCAGGTACAGTGTAACCTATAGATTATTTGTGTGTATGTGATTTTATTTTTGTCAATCTGCTGTAAAAAGGTTTGAAAGCAGTATTTGACTAGATAAATTTCTCTCTCTTCCCCCAACTCCACCTCATATATCTGTAAAGATTATTTATGTTACAGGCGGATATCTGGTCATTAGGTATAACAGCCATAGAACTTGCAAAAGGAGAACCACCTCATTCAGAGTTGCATCCAATGAAGGTTTTATTCCTCATTCCAAAGAACAATCCACCAACGTTGGAAGGAAACTTCAGCAAACCCCTCAAAGAATTTGTTGAGGCCTGCCTGAATAAGGAGCCAAGCTTTGTGAGTTTTAGAAATGTATTTTGGTTTTCATACAAATTTCAACATGGTAAAGCACTTAAGCATTTTGAATGAAATCTTCAGAAAAAACTTTAAGCTCAGTTTTAGAGTAGAAATCTTTACTCATAGCCAGAAAAAAAGGTGAATGAAAAAAGAGATGTATTTTAAAGCAGAATTACTCTCTAGAGTGATGATGGTAATGCTAACTAAAGCAGCAAAGGCTTTGCTGCTAAAACGTACATACTATAGAGCTTAGATGAGAATATAATCAGTCATTTAGAGATTTTTTTCCCTTTTCCACTTTTCTACAGTATATCCATGTATACCAAAGAGAACTTTCATCCTGAGAGAAACTTTCAGGTTGATTAGATTAAAAGCCTAAATCCAAATACAGCACCTTTTAAAATTTTTATAATTTTTTATTAGACACTAAATCTATTTTTGCAAGTGAATTGGAAAGGTTATCTGTAAACTGCTGAATTCTTCTTTGCTTATCTTTTAGTCGTCATCACCACCCAAGCTTAGAGCCACGATGGGAGCTCTGATTACCCATGTGTTCGGTGTTTTTCTTTTTCCATTATCATGAAAACGCTTGCCTAAGCTATTGCAAATAATGAGTGGATTTTCAATTATTTGTGTTAACTTGGCTTTTAAGTAATTTCAGTTTACTTGGTTAATGATTAGGAATCTTAAATGGCTCTCGCTGAGAAGGGGCCTATTTCATATAAAACTATTTTATTTGTTATGACTCACTTTGTTCACTTTTTTTCTGAGTGCCAAATGGTAATGTTGAATTTGTGTCATCGTTATTTTCTTGGTAACAGATTGACATCTGATACAGTGGGAAGATTGTGTGGAAAAACTGTTTATATTTGCTGTTAAGATCATAGGTGCTCAACCCTGCATGGTTTCTTGTGCTGTTTTAGGATGTGAGAGCCTAATTGTAAGTTCAGGTAAAACAAGAAGCCTGGCATTGATTTGGTACCTATACCCATGATGGAGTCGAGCAAAAATTTGTGGGCCATAGAGGCATCTGTATCTTTTGCAGAGGTATGGCTGGTCCTGATTCTTTGCCACCTCTCAATGAGGAAATATACTCCTCACCACTTCCAGTATAATCCTTCTTACTGACATCAACCCAATTCTATTACATCTACTGTTCAGACATCCTCTACCATCAGGATTAGCGAACCAGTGAACATAGTGTAGAGGTCCCATTCAGAGTTCTGTCCCACCTAGTTTGGGAATGGTACTGGGAGCTCTGGTCTCAGCCAGATGCATCACATGGCCTTCTTAACCTTACTGCAGACACTGTCCTTGTGTAATCTTACTTCTGCACAGTCGGTAAAAGAAGATAAAGCTCCCTGAGAACCTCCCTGGCTAGGCCCCTTCCACTGACTGTAGGCTGACAAGACCAGAACGGAAAATATGAGGGTTGTTGTTCCTTTACAGTCGTCTTCCGAGGAATGCACTTTACTGCAGGAGGTGATGATAACACCTGCACTAAACCTGATGGTAGAGGATATTTTGAGCCTTTCAGGTTTTCCTTTCTCAAGCTGCAGAGATGCTGGTCAGAATTCCTAGAACTAGTCACAGGACTATGACAAAACACAAATACCCTTCCTCCCACCTCAAAGCACACAGACAAAAAGGTATCGGATGCTGCCAAAAGATTGAGTATTTTGATGCCTACCTAAATCAAGGTCCTTAAATGCAAGAGGAGTTTGAGCCCAGTATGAGCACCCATAAGGACAAAGAAATTGGATCTATTTTGATGAAAGGCATGATTATCAGACTTGTCACAGCTTCAGGTGATGAATTTGTTAAGTACAATTTTAACTGATCTAGGGCAAAACAATCCCTGTCCTTTAAAAAAAATTCTACCAGATTCCAGGGATGAAATAAGAGGTACTAAGAAAAGGCAGATGGTCATGAATATTGGTGCTAGTTGTTGTAAGGTTGATGGCTGTAACAGGTGTGTCTCGAGGCTGGTTGTCACAACGGCCTGCTCACATGTCTGGGCAGTCTGCCCACCTGTCTTGCCTGTCATGCCTTTGTAATGAATAAGTTATTTCTAGGCAAGAGGCTGTCCCTTTAATATCCTGATGTCTAAGGTTTATACATGACTCCTACCTCCCCTTTTTGTGTCCCAAGCCTCACAGATGTTACTACCATCTATCACTTCTGTGCCTCTCTGACACTGGACTCTATACCCCTGTATCCACGCCTTGCTGGCACTAGATTCTCTGCACCCTCGTATCTGTGCTTCTCTGGCTCTAGGGCTTTCTGCACCCTTGTTTCTGAGTCCCGCTGGCGCTAGGGCTCTCTGTGCCCTTGTGTCTGCACCCCTCTGGTGTTAGGGCTTTCTGCGTCCTCGTATCTGAGCCTTTCTGGCTCTAGGGCTCTCTGCACCCTTGTATCTATGCCTTTCTGGCGGTAGGGCTCTCCGCAGCTCCATAGCACCTCTCTCTGTGTGTGTCTGTCCCTAACTCTACCCAAAATCTGGGACCTTTTCTCAGGGCACTAATGAGACCTCCAGACCTCCCCTTATAGCCTCATCCCGGTTGTCTGGTGTAAACAGAAACGAACAAAAGCCTCTAGGCTGTAATGTAAGTATTATCAATAGCAACAGTACTATGCCCCCGTTAGGGGTCAGGCGTACACCCTTAATACAGCATGCCACATAGCTTAAATACCTGGGAGGTTCCTAAAGTCTCACAGCACTTGAGTAGCAAAGCAGGCAGCACTGGTTCTCAGGCAGCTTTCACATGCAGGAGTTCTTTCTCTGGTGGTTGCCAGAGAGAGAGTGCCTTGCTATCTTCAGCCCTAAGCATATATGTCCCAAAACCCTGCTGTCATGTGACTCCTGCAGGTGTTACCCAATTACCTTCTTAAGCTGTTACTATGGCAACCCACAGCTGGGGAGCTCTGCTGGCTAGGCTGCTTCAGCCTTAAAGGAGCAGGCACGTTTTAGTGCCCTACTACAATGGCCAAAGCTGTTATTCTGTGATGGACATACCATGTAAACTACAGACCATGGTAGAGTATTTATTCTCTTAAAAAGACAGAATTCTTTGATTGGCAGACAAGTGAAGAAGCTACCTGTTCTGAAGAACTTAAGAGCTGCACCAAAAATTTCTAGGGAGTTAAATATTGACTCCAGACATTGAAGTCTTAAAAGTATCAACCTCAACATGGATGAGGATGTATCAGCTATGAAAGAAGCCCAGGCATTCTAGGAGATGCCTGTCTCGTGGCCTTTCAGAGGCAGTCAACTTGACAAAAGTTTTGAGAGTTACAACAGAGCCAGTGGGAGATCTACACCTACCTTTTGGGATTTCCATTTGGCTTTTCGTAGCTTCCATAGTTGACAAATGGGGGACTGGATCTCACTGCCCAGAGTTGGTGTGAACAGTTCTATTAATTACCACCTCTTCTCCTGTCCCTTTTGAGAAAAGCCTTTTTATCAGTGAAAGTAGCTTGGTTTCTTCTGGGAGCTGTAGAGGAGGTGTTGTGGAAATACCTGAGAATATTGACATTTCCTTGTCCTAGATTTTAAAAAAAGTCTCTGTTCTACCTGAGGCTGGAGGAGACCAGAAAACAAATCCATGACCTTAAATTCAAGTTGGTAACACTTGTTTCCAGTGTTCTATTTCTCCAGGCTCAACGTTGGTTCATCATGATGCCTGGCTTACATAATGAATACTTTTGTATAGCTATTCATCCTACTCACAAGAGAAGTTTCTAAGTTTTGTCAGTAAGGCCACCCACACCCAGGATAAAATACTGCTGTTTGGATTCTCCACAGCAATTAGCTGCTTTGTAAAAATGCCTACAGGTAGACTGGTAGTGCTTTCCTAGCACTTAAGAATTCTGTTTTGAACTGGACTTCTGTATCAGTCTAATTCTACTGGTGGTGTAGTCATGAGGCTTTAGTAACATCTCTGAGGCCTGATAAGATTCTCATTTTGAAGCATCAGTGATTCTCTTTGCAGCTGTCTGCAGATACAAACAAGGGTGCTGATTTGAATTTTTGCTCATTGTTTTCCAAACTTTTGATAGCTGGGACACGCTTTTTTTTCCAGATTAAAATTGGTGGCACATTTCACTCACTGATCTGTGGTTCCAGACCCAGCATACAGGGTCAGCACAGCTCAGGCCCAATTCCACCCATTTTTCATAGCACACTTTTGCTCTTGCAGCATACCGTGGCATCAGATTGCATCCAGGGCATGCTCTTGCGTTTGCAAATGTATTACATCAGCATTCTGTGTTCAGTGCTTCACCATGCCACTGATGTTTAACACCTGCACTAAACAGTATACCATACTTACCCAGAACCTGGCTGTCTTACTGGTTCTGAGACCGGTTTCCTTATTCCCAGAATGACTGCTTCTGTGTGAAGGAATTGAGCTGTAATGCTGATGTCTCACACCCACAAGTTGTCCTGATTGACCTGATAGCATGAACAGACATAACACTTGAATATTTCCAAGTGTGTCACTGTTGGGGAATCAGCTCATAATTGTCCCTGGACACACGCTGTTAAGGGCTCTAAGTAGAATCCTCACTTCTTAGGACTTGCATTGCTGCCAGAATGCTGCCAAGAGGTGGTAGAGTACCCAGACAGTTGTGCCTTTTGGGGTTCAGTGCCCAGAGTTTTCCCAGGTTTCCCCTAAAGGGGTTGCCAGGTGTTGGGGGCCTGTGTGGGTCCAAGGGGTCTGCCCCCCACCAAGAACTTCCCAGCTTTTCTAACTGCTGACCTGGAAAGCTACCATGTCAGTTTCACCTCCCTGCTACTGATCTTGGATAGTAGTGTCTCAGGCTCAATTGAGAAGGGTATGTCAAAGGGTTGGAGAGGTTGCCAGGTGTTTCCGGCTTCTGGGTTGCTCACTGCTGTTCTCCACCCAACTCACAGTTCATGTCTTAGTTTTTCTGAATGTCTCACCTGCATAGCCCATGCCTGTACTTGCTTGCATGCTCCCTAACTGCATGTGGTGGTAACCAGACGAGGGTGACTAGCTGTGTGTGTGGAGGCTTGGGTGTCCTTGCTTCTTCATACCAGGAGCTGGTTGCTTTGGGACCTCCCACATTCTCTGCCTCATGTTGCAGTTTTAAAAGGACTTTCCCTAAAAAGCTGTGTAAGTACTTTGCATTGCCAGTACCTGCATAGAGACATGCATGCGGGGTGAAACTTACAGGGCAGGATTGGCTTCAAGAGTGTAGGACAGAGGGTGAGGATGGGTTAATTCACTTCATATTGAAAATGGAGTTGATAGCCATTCTGTTCTATTAAGTGTGCATTGTGCAGTGGCTCTGTTTTTCTGTGTAAAGTGTATTCAGAATATAAGCGTTACTTCTTCCCACACCCTTAAAGCTTAAGCTCATATTTTTAGGGAGACGATCAACATGAGCTTACTGGTAGTGAGGCAGAAGTCAGGGTAGATTCACACCTTATAGACTAAGGGCCTTGTTACATGGTAATTTTGGGTGACTCCTGGAGCTCTTCACACAAGCCAGGGGCAGGGGGTCAGACATGATGATCCATTGTGGTCCCTTCCCAACTCTACAATCTATGAATTAACACCTGAAACTAGTCTTAAGCGATTGTTATGCTGCTCAAAGTTGTGTCCTGCCAGGGCAGAATTATCTTTTATCTATGTTGTTTAGCTTATTTTACCCATCCTATTAAGTCTTCATCTCCCAGCTTCATGTTCCAGCCCTGCCCAGATCTCATACCCCACCTAGAGCAGGGATAGAAGCTTGTCTTGGCTCACCAGCCCGGTAGTGGCAACTCAGCTGTAACTAACTCCTAGTAGGACTCCTACTTGTCAGCCCTCTAGTGGCAAGTCAGAGCTGTGTAGGTGGTGGACAGTCAGAGAAGGTTTTTAGTCTTAAAATGTGTGTCTGTTCCAAACTCAAGCTAGCACTAACACCGATCAACATTTGAACAGCTTGAAGTGCAGTGTATAAAAGGCCCTAACTAAATCAGAGATGTATATCAAACTTTTGTAAGCAGTGGATTTACATAGTAAAGATGATCGCTATCATCATCATCTGATGAAGTCAGTAGACGGAAGATCATACGTTCAGATATAAAGATCTTATAAAGTTCATATCTTGTAAAGCTCAAACTAAAGATAGGTTCAGAGATGAGACTTTTACTACTTTTTCATTAATAAAACTCAAAAACTAAAGTTTTTTTTAACATTTTTGTTTGGTTGTTTTTTTGCACTTCAAACTCTGCTGTCTTGACGTGTGGCAATATCTTCTCCTTTTGCCAGTATCCCAGATTTCTTGTTTGATGATAACGAGGAAGGATTTGGTATGGAACAGACCTTGAATTGATAAGGAGGCATCTGGTTCCTTAGTTTGAATATATTTTCACCTCCATATTCGATTTCTTCATTCTGATGATTTTTGGGGCATTGTTAGGAGCTAGTTTTCTGTGTGGTTACAGGTATGGAGTTTCAGGATGCAGTCTTTCACAAGGAGAGACAGTTTGACAACTACAGAAAAAGGAAGTAACGCTCTGATAATTCACAAGACCCATCTAAGGATATCTTCTTTGATTCTAGCTTTTTCTAAAAATATGAATTCTCTGCTAGGTTCCTAGAAAATAATTTATTTTTTAGAACTTGATTTATTTGCTGTTTTCTATGTTAATAAATAGCAAGATTTTAAAAACCAAGATAAAAAAGGGCTTTTAACTACATGAACTTGTAACAGACTTTCTTGGAGATATTTGAGTAAGCAAAGTTTTAGAAAATTATTAAAAATTGGTGCTTAAAAATAGGCTGTGGTGGTAGACCAACTTAATTATTTTAGGTATTTTTACCATCTTAATTATTATGGACTTTTGCATCCGTTGAGCTTCAGGGATTCAGCTTTTACTTTGCAGTTAAATGCAGAAGATTTTTCTTAAGTAGCTCAGAGTCGAGAACCATCCAGAATAAAATTTCAAGATGCTGACTTAGAAGAGGTACTTTTATTAGAAAAACAAGTGATAGCAATTCCAACTGTTATACCAGGAAAAATTGTAAGCGTCTTTGAGAACTGTCCTGAGTGAACTGGCAGACTTTGATTCTGCTGCATCTCAGTGGAACTTAATTACATAAATGGCTTAAGCATCTTAAAGAATTTTACCCTAGACCTAGACATGATGGAA